AAATAACGAAAAAAAAATAACAAATAAACGATTCGTTTAATTTAAACCTCCCGCCAAAAAAAAAAAATAATAATAATAATAACAACAACAACAACAATCAAAACAACAAAAAATTAATTATAAATAACGAAAAACAAAACAAAAACAACTTTTTGTCCATTTAAAATTTAAATGGACTTAATATTAAATTTTCATTGGTTGAAATAATAAAAACAATTCGTACGGAAAAAACCGATGATACCCGAATTATATTAATCCATTTATTTATTTTTATTTATTTTTCTTCAGCCATTGTTTATTTTCATTTTTTTATTTAAAAAGTAATTAAAAAGAAGTCAATAACTTTTTATTCTTATTAAAAAAAAAAAAAAAAAAATGCGGGGAGGGAAGGAAGGGAAATTTTTCTTTTTTTTTTTTTAATTAATTTTTATTTGTCTAAAGGGTTAAAAGGGTTAAGGTAGGGGGATAGGAGGGGGTCGGGAAAATAAAAAAAATAATAAAAAAAACAATTTTCATTTCCCTCAACTTATTTTGATTGGGGTTTACCTAATCTCTGAATATATATTTAAAAAAAAAATGATTTAAAAGTTTTAATTAATTTTTAACGGTTTTTACACTTTTATTACAACAACAACAACAACAAACGATAAATAAATAAAATGAATTTTGTCTTTATCGAGAGAAAAAAAAAATTTTCTAAGAAAATTTTTTTATTAACGGTAAATATTTTTGGTATTATCATTTTAGATTTTACAAGATATGATGATAGAAATTGATTATGATGCTGATGGTACTGTTTCGTTAGAAGAATGGACGAGAGGTGGTATGACAACAATTCCATTACTCGTACTTTTAGGATTAGATTCGGTAAGAATGTGGGAAGCACATTATAGCATTTCCAAACGAATATAATAATATTTTTTCGTTTCATTTTTCTTCGTTTTTTTTTTTTTTTTTTTTTTTCAGAACGTCAAAGAAGATGGAAATCATTTATGGCGATTAAAACATTTCAGTAAACCTGCCTATTGTAATTTATGTTTAAATATGTTAGTCGGTTTAGGAAAAAAAGGATTGTGTTGCGTTTGTTAGTAGTACATTTGAACGTGTCGTAAATTCGTTCGGTTATTTTAATAAAATCTCGAAAGAAAACGTTTTTTATTATTTTCAGTTTGTAAATATACTGTTCACGAAAGGTGCGTACAAAGAGCTCCGGCTAATTGTATAGCAACATATTCCAAATCGAAAAAAACTCCGCATTTAATGGCTCATCATTGGGTAGAAGGAAATTGTCACGGTAAATGCTCAAGATGTCGAAAAACTGTTAAAAGTTATAATGGAATAACCGGATTGCATTGTAGATGGTGTCAGTTGACGGTAAACGAATAAACAACCACCACCTTGCATCACCCCCCCTCCTCGCACCCCCTCGCATTTTTTCTTTTTTTTTTTTCTCCCTGTAACATCGAAATTACGATTCCGATTTCTTTTGTTAGCTTCACAATCGATGTGCAAGTCAAGTCCCACCGGGTTGTACTCTCGGAGAGAACCGTCCACATATAATACCTCCTACTGCCATTTGTCCTGTTGTTTTAGACAGGCAAAGATCTATATCAAAAGACCAACAAAGAAAATCAATACATAGATCCGAAAGTCAAACTCCTGTTTCCGACACATCTTCCAACAGCATCGTAAGTTTATTTATTTTTAATTTATCATCATTATTATCCTTATTATTATTATTTATTAATCGCACGAAAATTTGAATTTTTTCCCAGGCTCTCGGACAACCTATGTCGTTTCAAATAAATCCGATGGAAGGTACGAAACCATTAGTAGTTTTTATAAATCCGAAATCCGGCGGACGACAGGGTGCCAGAATCCTACGAAAATTTCAATATTTACTAAATCCTCGTCAGGTTTATAATCTTGCCAAAGGTGGTCCCCTCCAAGGTCTTCAATTATTTAAAGACGTTAAAGATTTTAGAGTTTTGTGTTGCGGGGGTGACGGAACCGTCGGATGGGTTTTGGAAACAATGGGTGAGTTGATATTTCGTCAAAAATAAAAATTTCGTAATAGTTAGTAGAAAAAAAAAAAAAAAAATTTTTATAAGTTTTTTTTCACTTAGACAAAGTACAATTCGAATGTCAACCTCCCGTCGGAGTCATTCCATTGGGAACGGGAAATGATTTAGCAAGATGTTTAAGGTGGGGCGGTGGATACGAGGGCGAAGCCATTTCTAAATTATTAAAGGTAATATAATGATGATAACATAGAATTCTAGGAAATATAGGAAAAACATTAATTAATCGATTTTTTTTTTTGTTAATATAATTCCTTATGTAGAAAATAGAAAAAGCATCCATAGTTATGTTGGACAGGTGGCAAATTGACGTCACGGAAGATCCTTCGGTAGATCCGAAAGAAATCGGAGATCCCATTCCTTATAATATAATAAATAATTATTTTTCCGTTGGAGTTGTGAGTATAGACCAACAAATTTTTAAATCATCATTATTATTATTATCGTGCTTAAGGACAATAAGAAAAAAAAATCCTTCGTTTTAGGATGCTGCGATTTGCGTGAAATTTCATTTAGAAAGGGAAAAATGCCCGGAAAAATTCAACAGCAGAATGAAAAATAAATTGTGGTATTTTGAATTTGCAACATCCGAAACTTTTGCCGCCAGTTGTAAAAATTTACACGAAGACTTGGAAATAATCGTAATTTCCTTTTTCTTACACTTACTGATTGGGTGCATTACCTCAAAACTAATTAATTATTATGTTTTTTTTAGTGTGACGGAGTGTCATTGGATTTAGCAAAGGGTCAGTCCCTTCAGGGCATCGCACTCCTCAATATTCCTTACACCCACGGAGGTTCGAATCTATGGGGTGACAATAATTCAAAGAAAAGAAGTTTTAACAAGAGTAAAAAAAGAAAAAAAGAAATGAGCGATAAAGAACTGTCCACTACGAGTTTTACGTCGGTTGATCTCAGTTTAGCTTATCAGGGTGAGTGAAAGGAAATACCCGGCGGTACAGAGAGAGAGAGAGCAAGGGGGAACCCTCCCCCCACATTCATTTATAAATTAAAAAATTTTATCTTTTTTACCAGACATAGGAGACGGGTTGATAGAGGTTATCGGATTGGAAAGTAGTTTGCACATGGGTCAAGTACGAACGGGATTAAGAGCATCCGGAAGAAGGTTGGCTCAATGTTCCCACATCGTTATTAAAACTAAAAAAAGATTCCCGATGCAAATCGACGGAGAACCGTGGATGCAAAATCCCAGCACCGTGAGTTTTAAAATTTTCCTTTTTCTCTTTCCCCCTCCCCCTTCCCCCCACTTTTTTTAATCGTAAATTTTTTTTTGCAGATACGAATTACCCATAAAAATCAAGCTCCCATGTTAATGGCTCCTCAACCCGAGAAAAAAAAAGGAATTTTTAGTTTTTTCAAAAAGTGGCATAATTAATTCGTGTTAAAAATTATTGATAAAATCACTAATAAAAGCCTTCCAGTAAGATATCGGTGAGTTTTATTTCCAAAGAATCAAAATCCCTTCCAGAACTTTCTGGAAAAAAATTTTTTCTTCTTCTCCAGGTTCCAGGATCGAACGATCCCCTCGATTCGCAAAGTTGATAAACAAATTTTTAAATAAACGTCAACACACTCGGACAATAAAATCAAAATGTCGCACATTTTAATATATAAACAACCGCAACAAACGGAAACAACAACAACAACAACAACAATAATAATAATAATAATGATAATAATAATAATAATAATAAACGTGTCATTCCTTCGTTTTAGTTTTTAATATCAATAATTAATTAATAAATAAGTAAATAATAATCACGTGTATAAAAAAAATGTAAATAAAAATTTTTATTTATTTAATTATTCATCGTAATAATCGATAATGAGAAATAATAATAATAATAATAATGATGATGATGATGATAATGATGGCGGAGTTTAAAATTCTAACAAAAACTTAAAAAAAAAAAAACAAAAAAATTTATCATCGTTATCATTATTAATATCGAAATGTAATTTATTTATTTTTAATAATGTACATAAATAAACGTGTAAAATAAAATGTGTTAATAAAAATAATTATTATTAACTATTATTAATAAATAAATTTTCATATCAAACGTTAAAAAATTTATTTAATACATAAATAAATAATTCGACGATTTTAAGAAATTTAAAAAAAAATTTAAATTGTTATCAAAATAATTTAAGGTATTTATTTATTTTTATATTTTTACGAGGTTATTTATTATTAATAATAATAATATTAGGTATAATGTTTAATAATAATGTTAATAACAATAATAATAATAATAATAATAATAATTGTGAAGAGAAAAAAAAAGTTTATTAAGAGGATATCGGGTCGAAAATTAACAATTATTATAAATTTATTTTCAAAATATCATATTTAAAATATTTTTTTCTTTTCGTACCTGAAATCGGCAATAATAATAATAATAATAATAATAATAATAATAATAATAATAATAATAATAATAATAATAATAATAATAATTTAAAAAAATTAAGTACGAGAACTTTTAAATAAAAACTCGAATGAAAACTTTTTTTTTTCTCTCTGCCTCTCTTTTTCTCCGCCCTTAATTTAAACTTTTTATTATTATTATCATTATTATTATTATTATTATTATTATTATGACTATCATCACCACGATGTGATATTTAACATCGTGTGTGTTATTGTGATTAATTACTATTTAACTAACTTACATTAACATCATTTATTTAAATTTATTTATTATTATTATTATTTTTTTTTTTTAAATAATTACGTGGTAATTAACGAAACACATCATCGTTCGCGCGTTTTTTTTTTTTTTGGTGATTATTATTTTAAGAGACGAAAACGCGCGTAATTTTTCTTGTTTTTTTCTTTTTATTATCGCGCGCGTAAACGCATAAAAAAAATTAATTCCATTATTAAAAAAAAAAATAAAAAATAATCACCCATTACATATTTATTTATTCATTTGTTTCTTGTTTTTATCAAACTCGTAAATAATAATAATAATAATAATAATAATAATAATAATAATAATAATAATAATAATGATGATAATGATAATGATCGAAAATTCTCACGAATGTCTAACGGTTTAATGTTTATCAAAAATTTAATAAAAACCGAATCGAAAGTTTTTTTTTTAACTTTTTTTTTTATTATTCGAGGATCTGAGCCCTCCTCGAATATTCAATCATCGATTTTTTAATACTTACCTTACCTGGTTTTATTATCAAATCGTGTAAAGAAAAAAAAAAAAAAAAAAAACTTTCGAATAATCAATTAATAATAATAATAATTACATAAATTTGTAAGAACATACGTACGTAATTATTTCATCATCGTAATAATAATAATAAATAAAAAGAGGTCGAAAAAGGTCAACACTTTAGTTTTAATAATAATATTAATAATAATAATAAAAATTTAAAAAAAAATGACGTTTGTAACGTTTATTTATTTATTTATATTTTATTACCTGTTATAAAAAATTTGTTTATTTATTAACTTGTAAATATATAAATATATATATTAATAAATTTTTCTTATTGATACATAAAAATATATGTATACATAAACGTGTAAAAAAATAAAATAAATAAATAAACGAAAAAAAAATAAAAAAAAAAAATTTTGTTATCGTTATTATCGTTATCATTATTATTACCCGGTTAATTTTTATTATTATGAATTTCATTGAAAAAAAAAATAAATTTATAAATAATAATAATAATGATATTTGTATATTCAATTAAAAGTTAGTTATTAGTTAATTATTAAATAGTTATGCGTTTAGTTATTACGAAGAGAAAATATAAAAATAAAAAATAAAATAAAATAAAAAATAAAATTTTCAAAATAAAATTAAAAAAGTTTTTTTTTCTCTCTCTTTCCCCCCCCCTCCCTATCTCTCTCACTCTCCCTCTATATTTCTCTCTCTCTCTCTCATAATTGGGTTCTTAACAAAGGAATAAAAAAAAAAAGGAAAAAAAGAAAAAAAAAATTAAAAACTTTTATTCTTTTTAATTTGATTTTTAATTTTTTTACTACATGCAATTACACATTTTTTTTTCCTACCTTTTATCTATTATTATCATTATTATCATTATTATTATTATTTTCCGTGTGCACGATAATGGAGATAAAGATAAAATAATAATAATAAGAATTTTTTTTTGTTACCCTCGCTTTCGAGCAAAAACAAAAAAAAAATTTAAAAAAATGAAAAATCCAGAGCGTTTGTTTTTTGTTTCAAAAAAAGAGCCAAAAAAAAAAAAATTTTTTTTCATTCGAATTCGGACAATGATTTCTATTGGTCGAAAAAATCAATCTCGCGCGTTCTGATTGGCTGTTCATTAATTCCCGAACACATGATTTAAAATAGAATAAAAAATAAAATAAAATTAATTTTTAATCCGCGTGTTAAAATCGACTGGTTTCGTCGTTTAGTTTTCCAATTTTTACGCCGCGTTATCATTTTTAAAAATTTACGCGTGCGTATTTTAAGCAAACGACATATATAATAACCGAAAATAATTATCACCGTAGTATACGAAAAAGTGACGCAACGTTTTTAACGCGCGCAAAAAAAAGAATAATAACAAGAAAGATGGCGCGGTTGAGTGAAACGGTTCGTGTGCGGTTATGTCGTGTCGATTTATTTTATTTTTTTTAATAGTGTTATTTTTACAGTGTAGTTATAAGTTATATATCAAAAGTTTTGTTATCTGGTTTAGTTTATCGTGATATAATTAGTTTTTTATATTATTTAGTGATAACCATATTATTTTAAGTTTAAATTTACAAATGGTCAACGGTTTCATTGTGACAAATGAAAGCGTCAGCAATAAAAAACCTTAGAAGATGCCTTGGTACATTTCATTGTTACGGGTGAGTGTCTCATTTTAAACTTGAATTTTACTTGCAAAAACGTTAGGTCAGCAATGAAATAGAGCCACATACCCAAATAACAAAACATTTTTAAAATTTTACATTTATTTGGTTAATTATTAAGAGTTTAACTAAATATCTTTTTCATCTCATCATAAAAAACAAGATGTTTGAGTAATTTAATAATAATATTTATTAATAATGATTGATTTCATATATATTAACTCAGTGTACAAATTTGTATACTCTCTAACCTTGTAGGGTTAATTTACTGATTGTTGGTTGTTTTAGGTCTTTTCTTGAGTTAGTTTGTCTCATTACAACATAGTTTATCATATTGACAGTGTTATACTTTCATAAAACTGCATCAAAAATCAAGTAGCCTATATATTAATTGATTTTAATGTAAGGATTATGAAAATGCACATAGACAGACTCCATTTAATAAATTTACATTTCTTGAGCTGATTATAAGTAGTTGAGCTGAATACCTCTGTCACACTGTATATAAATAAAGGTAGTTTAATAAAAATACTTGTAATTAATTAAATTTTTGCATCAGGTGGATGTAAAATCTCTGTACTTCTGCTTTTAAGTGTGAATCTATTGATTGTACATTACTTTAACCCTTTTCTTAAGTTAGTTTGTTTCATTATAACATATTTTGCCATGTGTTTAGTGTAAAATTCTATTTTAATTTCATTTAAGGTTAGAAAAATTCAACTGCCTTCAGATTACTTGAGTTTATAGGTACAAAATTGTAATTTGTATACTGTCTTGTACTTTGCATAGTGTAATTGTATATGTATAAGCTGTGCATGCATTAAGGATGGAATGCATGAGGGAAAATTATGAAAGGGGAATGGAAATAGTAGGAAAATTAAGTATTGAAATAGGTCTGAGGAGAAAGTGTATTCTTTTACTAGGTATACTTAAAAAATTCAGGCCTAAAGATAATGATGACTGATTCATAATTGTAATAGAGCAAAATGAGAACAAGATAAAGACAGAACAAAACAAATCTTGTTCTTTTGTCAACCTAAGCAGCTCTATAAGATTGTAAATCTCATTTTTCCTGTCCTTGGCCATCCCACAGATGTCAATCAGTGGAGTCCAGTACAGGAATATGATGGTCTCAGTGAGACTTACAAGAATTATAGTGATGTCACAAGTTATAACAAGACAAAACATATTCAGGCATGCATCATCATTGATATTCAGGCATTTATTCCTTAGGGATAGGGTAGAAACTTAGAATAAATGTTGAAAAAGCTCTGAGAAACATTAAAACGAACTGTCGTGATTATGATTGATTTTAAATTTTAATTTTTTCCATTCTTAATCGAGCGCCATTGTTAAAAAAAATTAAAAAACCTCAGAAAATGATAATTTTTTAATAAAAATTACCGTGGATCGATTATTAATAAATAAATAAATTATCTATTTATTTACTTTTTTAAAATGTTTTATTAAAATTTACGAATTTATATATATACATAATGACGTCATTTAAATTT